AGCGAGAGAGAAGAGAGAAGAAGAGAGAAAATGTGCAGGCGTTACGAAAACGAGCGTTTCTGGGTTTCGTTTTTGGGTCTCTCTGTTTTGTGTGAGTGTGTGTTTCTGGCTGTGGATTTGGAAGATCCCTAGAAATGATATGAAGGTGCGATTATTGAATACGAGAGAGGGAATGTGCCTTTCGAAATGGCAAGTACGGATTTCTCGGTGTTTTGGCGCCAAGAGATATATGCCTTTCATTCGCAGCTTTGCTTCTTTCTTTCGTTTTTTACTTTTTCTTTTTTAATTCGAACAGCCGGGCCTGGACATGATACGAAAGGCCCAATGAAGATTATCCAAGACCAACAAAACAAAACAAGCTTTGATTGAATTTTTATTTTTTTCAGAAACAAAAAATAGAAGATTGAAAAAATAGAATTTTAGGAGCAATAGTTGTTGAACTTGTACCGATTCGCATTTTGGTCCTTAAATTCGCAAAATGATTCTTGTAATCCTCAACTCCACTTAGGGGTAAAACACATCCTTCCCTATCGTTATATCTTTCTTCTTAGCTTGAAGTGTTTTTTTTCCCTACTTATATATAGCAAATTCACCATACCCTCTATGTATATGAACTGGTGAACCCATGATCTGCCGTAAACCCCATTTTGGCAATTTTGACCGAAATCAAAACCGAACCTAACCAGTTCAAGAGTCCAACTCTCACAGTGCGAACAGAATTGATCTGGAAATGATATGAATTGGTTCGATTGCTCAATCTTTTAACAGAAATCAAAACCGAACCTAACCAGTTCTGTTTTTCAATTTTGTTTTCAGTTTTGAGGGTGAACCGAACTGAACCTTACCTTGCCCACTTCTAGCCAAATATTTTAACCTGACCCCTTTATTCCGACCAGCTCCCCACCACAATCGAGGAGTATAGGCCAATCATAAGATAAGCCGGTGAAGAAGCAAAGTCTGTGGAACATCTAAATGTGCCCTTTCCAACAGGTACAATGAGAAATGTTTCAATCTCCTAACAAATGTTTAATAATTTACTTTCATTATCTGGACAAACAATTTACATACCAAGATTTACTATGAGAGGTGAACATTACAACATAATCAAAATAAACCAGAGGTAAAACGCAAAAGACATGTCCACTATCATGTATCATATAGCAGCAGGT